CTGATTTTCCGGAATAAGTGGCCCAGTGTAGACACAGCCCTGGGGAATGAGGATGGAGCGGTAATATTATGTTGTGCTGCCATTGTTCCTTCCAGCACAGACTCGAAAGAGCTTTACTGCGTCTCTCAGCACCTTGGCCAGATAGCTCTGGAGGCTCAGGCCCTCTCCCCATCACAGCATTGTGTGTGAGCACTGCACTGCCAGCTGCTCTGCCACTGTTTTCTGTGTTTTAGGTCTGTAAACAGCCCCTTCCCTCCCTTCAGGGGTGGGTATTATCAGGCAGATGGTAGGGAGGACACTAAATGGCTGGCTTAGGATTTCCCAGCTAGGCAGACCCCCCAAACTTTGTCTAACTAGGTTAGAATTTTCACGTCCCATTTAAATGTTTAAGCCAACTCTATTGGCTGCCCTATGTGCCTTTCCCCATTGCTGATCTGTCTGCCTGGCCTTAGTCTGTGATCTTTGGAGCTGGGGCTTTCTTCTCTGTTTAGAAAGGGCACGTTGGTGGCAGGATCCAGAACTCGTCTCCTGACTCATGTGCAGAGCCAGACCAAGTGAGCCTTACTGGGTCCAAGTAAAGAGCATAAAAGGATTTGGAGAAGTCACTTTGCCGCACCCTAAATGGATTGGCCCCACAGAGAAGCCCTAAAACCAGGAGAAAATTGAAACTTACTTCTACTCTGTTCAAAAGCTTACTCTGTTGCCGTTGTTTAGCAATAAGAGCAGCCCTGGGAAGAGAGGGATGCCAGGGCACAATACACGCACAGCTGTGTAGGGCACCACAACATTTATGCCTGGTGCTGGCCCAGGAAGTCCCAAGCCCATGGCCTCTGCCCCCACCTACCAGCACCTCCAGCCACAATCCCCTGCCCCTCCCCCTTCTGCCTCCTTCCCCCACCAGCCTCTGTTCCTGATTTTCTCACCCTCCCTCCCCCAGCTCCTTCCCCTGCAGCCCTGAGCACAACCCCCTCCATGGCAAAGCTGTTGTCCCTCTCCTCCTGCGGTGGGGGATGGGAGATGCAGGTGCTTGGGCTGTACAGGGCACCAGAATTCATAAGGAGAGCCCTGGTCAGTACTATAGCATTAGTAGGGACACAACACCTCCCCCAGCTATCTGTCATCTATTATATAATACAGTAGCAGGATTGTTTCTACAGCATTTGGCCATTTTTTCCGAGAGGCATCTCAGATCCATTCACTAGCTCAGGGAAGGGCAGTCACCGCTCATGTGATATTCACATGGAGCCCAGATGCGTTTAGCCGGGGCAGGGCTCTCTCAAAGCAAATCATGCGAACCACTGCTGGGAATAATCTATACCCTGTTCCCAGCAGAAACACAGTGGCTGCGTCTAGACTGGCAAGTTTTTCCACAAAAGCACTTGCTTTTACGCAAAAACTTGCCAGCTGTCTACACTGGCCGCTTCAATTTCTGCAAGAACACTGACGATCTCATGTAAGAAATCAGTGCTTCTTGCGGAAATACTATGCTGCTCCCGTTTGGGCAAAAGTCCTTTTGCGCAAAAGGGCCAGTGTAGACAGCTCAGATTTGTGTTGCGCAAAAAAGCCCCGATCGCGAAAAAGTAAGAATAAGACCCTCCGGGAAAGGGCGCTTTTTCCGGAGGATCGGGGCCAGTCTAGACGCTCTTTTCCGGCTTTTTTAAAAGCCGGAAAAAAGCGGCGGCCATTTTTATTTAAATGCCGCGGGGGATATTTAAATCCCCCGCGGATTTCCCTACGACGACTGCTGAAATTTACATGCCCCTTACGGAAGAGGGGCCAGTGTAGACGTAGCCCTGATGTGTATCAGTTGGGCCTTATTTCTGATGAGCAGCCATGCAGAAAAATCCCACAAATAAAAAATAAAGCCGTCTTTTTCTAGCCAGGCCACTGTCTCATGTTTAGCAGACCTGCCTAGCAGGAACTTACTCAGCCTGGTCACTGAGCCATGCTGCACAACCCAAGACCGAGAGGCAGGTCACGGCCCTATGACGGGCAGCTTGGACAGCCAATGGGAGAGACCTCTAAAGCAGCTTAGCAGATGCTAGGCAGTTGTTCTTGGAAGGCTAAGACACAGCAGTGTCACCAGCTTTCAGGTCAAACACAGAGCAGCAGCGGATCTTTGTAATAAAAATTCCAAATTAGAAAAGGCAGGGAGAGAATTTAAAGAGAGAGAAATGGACACACACAATAGTCCTGGATAGAAATTCCTATGTGGTTATTTGAGCTTCTTTTTGGAAATTTGCTGACATTATCAGCTGCCCTTCTGAATATTTCTACTCACCCGTTCCCACAGGTGTTGTACATCCCAAAGTTTGGTCTGTACTCCCAGTCCTTGGGGGAGAATGAATATGGGCATTGAAAGGCCAAGGATTTTATTTCCTGGCCTTTCCACAGTCCTGCTGTGGGCAAGTTGTTTGGCTTTTCTTCTACCCTTTATCTGTCTGGTCTATTTCAATTATCATGCTATTGAGGTACAAACTATTTCTTATTTATGTCTGGACATTACCTAGCCAAAAGGGGGCCCTCACCTCCACATGGGATTTTAGGCACGACTGTAATAGAAACAACAATGGCCCAACGTGCATTTTACCCCTCTTACACAGCGGCCATACTTTTTTATTTGGGGAAAAGCGCAGAGGTGGGGAGACTGGAGACAATACCCTTTACACACATCGGCTACTACCTCCTGCATAATGATACTAGAACACAAACTTCACATTGAAGCAGAGCATCAAGTTCATTGGGTCAGTGAAACAAGCGTGAGGGCAAAAATAGTGTTCAGCCACCACTGATAGGGCATGACTGTCAATCTTCTGTCTGTAACTTTCAGAACACTGGTTCCCACGTTCCTCCTTGTATTCTAACTTTACAGGTCACCTTGGTATACAGATAACCAGAGAGATGAAGTGTGAGGGAAGATAGCGAGAGATGGGGGGGCCAAAGTCTGACAGACTGTGACCTAACACCTTACAGCAGGCTGTTCAGGGAGCAAAGAAAGGCTTACTTGTTTCAACCCCAGAATTCCGATCCGCAGCTGTGTTCTGGGTGCGGTGTGTTCATCGTCTCCATTTAGGAACCAAATCCAGCATTTCTTGCTATTCAGACTCCATTCATGGGTAAAACTGCTTGGATGGCTGAGGCAGAACTTGTTGTAGCTCAGAAACTTTAGTGGTCCCATATACTAAATATTTGAGTTTCTTTTTGTCCTCCTAAATGGTAAGAATTAGGACTGCCAGATTTGGGGTGCAGCTTCTTCTTAACAGAACTGAAAGCAAGGTTAGGGTTTGGCTGTGCCAGAACAATGGGATGTGTGGTAAGTGGAACTGTTTTTCTGAGAAGCATACAGAAAAGAGACAGAACTACCAGGCAGGTGAAAGGAACTGGATGAGGGAGCCGCACACTGGTCCTGAACTGCCCCAGCTCAGAGCCTTCCACCCCAAGCACCCTATAGGGAAGGCAGCAGGGACTGAGGTCTCCCTACCCCCCAATTTGTATGGGTTCATTGCTAACTGTTCCCTTTCCTCATGGCGCAAGGGGAAAGTGCAGAGTTTGCTGTATTCCTCACTCTGACTGGGGCATGCACGGGGCTTGGACCTGCCCCAGCAAGGGGGCCATGCATCCCCACCCCAGCTGTGCCCACTGGAACGGCAGCAATCACAGCAAGGCACTTTTCACCTGGCCCCAAGCTGCTGTGGTGAGAGAGGGCTGGGGTAATCCTCTTCCCCAGAGCAGCCTGCAGACTGAACCCTTCGTCCCCATCCCCACCCTACAGCAATGATTCAAATGGAGCATGGACATTTTCATTTTTTTTTTCCAAAAAATAAAAGCTGAGTTAAGGACCCCAGCAACACCATGTAAATATTCCAGTAAAATATATTCTCATCCGCTGCACAGCTCTGACTTCAAATTGGGCTTTCAGCTTGAGGGAGGAAAGAGCTTTTCTGGCAAGAGATAACTCCCCTTTTTGTTTCCCATGCAAGTTTCATCCTGGGTCAGTTAATGATGTTTTGGAGTTGCTTGCAGAGCTTTGGCCTATCCTTAGTGGGAAAAATGTGGTAGGGAGATGATGGTGTGGGATTATCAACTCCTTTGTGGGGAAGGGCTGGGTGCAGGCTTCTCTTCAGGAATTGGTTCAAGATGCCATTTTTCATAATCTCTTAAACAATAAAGTACACTGAAAACCCTGGGTCAACAGAATATTAAGAGTGCAGAGTCAGAAATGCCAGAATTAAGGATGCCTGCGCATATTTATTTTGGTCTCCCTGCTTGAGTGCCTTACAGAATAGTTTTTAAGGACATGACTATGTTGTGTATTTTTTTCCTGTAAGCCTCCTTTCTTGGAGGCTGGCCTTATTTAGTGCCAGCCTCCAAGAAACCTTTACCTTGCAAGTGTAAACTGAGCTTCAGAGCCTCCAATGTAGTCAAAATTTGATGCACTTTCTCTAAGGCAATAAAAGGCACAACCCTCAAACTAGAGCAAAAATCTTACTAAACTTCAGCTGCATCGCACAGACACATCTTCTCAATAAAACAGTTGTGAGAATGGGAAAGTTCAAAACATTTTAATTTTTTCCTAACTCATTTTGTGAAATGGTGGAGCTGTTTTCTGCTGAAACTAACTCAGCCAGAGGCACACACCCAACCTGGAAAACTTCAGCCTGAATAGTTAAAGTTGGAAAAGTTATAAGTAACTCAAAACAGGGACTTATAATGGAAAGAGTTAGGCAACCTTACTACAAGCTCCACCTTTTGTAACTAATGAAGGAAACTATGAACTAGCTGCAGTTTGAGCAACCCAGAAAGAGAAGGATTTGGACCAGCTTTAGAAAAGATAGAAATTGTCAAGCACCCAAAAGAGAGTTGCTCTTGTTTCTCCCTCTGCCAGGTGGTAGACAAACTATGGAGCTCCTCACACCACAGTAACCCCCCGTATTCCTTGCAGCTTCTCAGTTCCCAGCCTACCATTCCAGACTCTTTTTGCTTTGGGAAGTAACATCACCATGAACTCTATAATCACTGCACCCTCAAGTGAGGGCTTCATGCCTGCATTTCTGATGTTTTTCTGCCTCCCTTTCCACCCCATACACAAGCAACAGCTCTCACAAACTCTCCCCTCCCAACAGTAATTCACTTCCCAGCATCTCTGTCCAGGCACCAGCAGCTTGGACAGGATCTTTTCCCTCCCCCCACTTCATCCCAGAAAAAGTACCAGGCAAACTTTTCTCTCCATTTCT